ATTTGAAGGGGTTTTCATCATTATTTCTTCCAATGTTTTTCTATCCCTTTTCTCCTCTCTTTCAGATCTCCCAGTATACCTATGTTGGTATGCTTGATAGTGTGCCACAAGTCTCTGAGAATGTTCCTTTTTGTTTATCTTTTCTTTCTTAGACTGGATAATCTCAACTGGATATATTGTCATATCCCTTGATGCTTTTTTCTGCCATCTCAAACATGCTGTTAACCCTCTCATGAATTTTTTGAGTTATTCCATGTTTCAGCTCTAGAATTTTGTTTGATCATGTGTGATTTCTCTTTATTGATAGCCTTTATTTGGGGAAACGTCAGCCTCATACTTTGCTTTACACGATTTCTTCTAGTTATTTGGATATGATCATTGGAGGGTAGTACATAGATTTTTATTCACATACAGAAAAATAAACAACCGATATAAACATCTGTATGATACCCTCCAAATGTCATTTCCTTTCTCCCCCCTCATATTGTGATCAGACTTCTTAACAACTTTCTCCCCAACGATAGCATTATTCCTTTTGTGCAGATTCTCATTATCTACTTTACTTTTACCTTATAATATAATTTGTTTCTAGATATTTACTGAACTTAGCTTCTAGATATTCTGTAACTAACAAGAAATGTACAGTGTACTCTCAAGGTGGAAAAGTCCAGTTAAAACATGAAGCAGGTAGGTAGTGACTGATAGAGCAAGTGCAACAAAGAACAGTCAGGAATGACTTTTGCACATGTGGCATTGTAGCAGAGACCTTAATGTCAGTGAGTTAGCTCAGCAAAGGCCATACGGAATATCTTTGAGCCAGAAGGAGTATCAAGTATAAATACTCCAAAGTAGAAGCAAGCTCAGTGTAATCAGAGCCAGACAGTGTGACTAAAGACTCATGATTAGTAATGGTTAGACTGCAGGCTAGACGGAAGGCCAGAGGAGTGGACAGAAGCATGACTGTGTGGGATTTTTAGGCAATGGTAAGGAGGTTGTGTTGCGTATGAATTTATTAGAAAGCCACTGGCAAGTTTTAGGTAAAGAATTGTGATGTGTTATACCTTCTCATTTATCAAAACTAATCCATTCAGAAACACCCAGAATGGATTTCAGTGTCTATGCATACATTTAGATTAGCCTTAGGGATAAACTGTTTTAAAATGCTCATGTTGCAAAGAAAGAGTTTTTATATTTTTAACTGGCAGAAACTATGGTAGTTCATCTACTGAAATTTTTGTCTGTGGCTCCTGATTTCAGTATTTTGACATGAGTAGTAGTCATGTTCATTTTAAGGCAGATACCAGGACTAACATGTCAGAAATGTTGCTTCTGGTTTATTTACTACTGTGTATTTACCCTGTGTGCAAAGCACTACATTGTATCTTAGCCTCTGTGTTAGGATGAGCACAGAAAATTTGGCCTCCTTATATGAAGATGGTTACCCTAATTTATCATCAGACGTGTACAGTTGTCCAGCAGTGAGCATGGACACTAGCTAACCCACTAGCAGCCTTTCGCTTGGTTTCCCTAGTGGATGGTGGCGTGCAGTGAAATGACTAGTGGAGTGGCATGTGGCCAGGGAACAGAGAGGTGCCTGCCAAAGAGAGTAAACCAGTAACTCTTGAGTCATAAGTGTAGTGTTCGAATCCTTGGAACCACACATGAATGGGTTTCTGAAAGCTTTGAATACCAGCATCTCATACACCCTCTGTCATTATGTGTCATTTGGTAGTGATACCGCATTGCAGTGAGAGTTTTTAAGCTGCTGAAAAGTTTACATGTGATTCTCATGCTGTGTAGTATTACTGGTAAAGCTTTTAGTTCTTTGCATTTTGAGAAGTTGAAAGTATTAGGTCTTCTGTGAGCTCTGCCATTGACTGAGGCTTGACTTCCGCTATCACACTCATGACTCTGGGACTCAGTTTCTCCCATCCGCCAAGTAAGGTCCCTTAGTCACTTTCCTATCACCAACACACAGTGCCCAACACTCACAACGTAAAGGCAGAGGGGTTTGTTTTGGCTTAGGGTTTTTACAAGATTCAGTCTCTAGTCCGCTGGCTCCCAGGCAGGAGGGGCGTGGTGGAAGGGTTTGGTGAAAGAAGCTGCTCACGTCATGGTGGCCAGGAAGCACAGACCAAGGGAAGAAGCCAGGAGTGAGACGCGCCCTCCCAAGTCAGGCCCAGGTGAACCGCTTCTCTGCACCAGGCCCCACCCCTAGCAGCACTTTCGGCTGTGGATGCACAGGTGGACTAGTCCAGTGATGAGTGTAGTATACCCTTAATCCATTCACCTTCTACACACTTGAGGGTTCGGGGGAGCATTTTACATCTAAATCAAACCATAAGGTGGGTGGATGCATATCCGTGTCCCTTTTAGCACTAATATGTGGTGATTTGGTAAGTCTAAGAGTTACCTTATTTGAATAAGCATGTAGGACAGAAATGATAGTAAGGTGAAAAAAAATTAAACAGAAACCCTGTCATTTTTAGCTTGACAAGAGTTACTGAACTGCACAGAGTGTAACAGGAACTCTTACTTCTGGGTGTAACTACCACACCCTTTTCTCATCCCTGGCATTTATCTCTAATGAACACAAAAAAGATAGATGACAACACAGAACCAGACACATGAAGATTTATCCATACGGGTGACTAAGGAGCGTGGGACCCAACTGGGTTAAAGGAAAGTTTACAAGAACTAGTAAACTACCTCAAAATGGGGCTGCTTTTTGGCTTATTCTACTGGGAATGGTAGAAAGGAGATCTTTGGCTTTTTGGTTTAGCTTGTTGAAACCGTTATCTGTTTAAGTAAGCCCTGACGTCTATCCTATGTAAAAATAAATCTCCTCTTAGGACTTCTTACCAGAGTACGTGGGGCGGGCTTGCACCTTGAAGTGTTGAGCACCCGAGCCATTCACTGGATTGGTCCAGTAAGCTGCTGTCACTCTTCTAAGTACCACTTGAAGCTTGGTCTTCTCGAGCTTGTTCATCCTTGCAAAGACCCCGTCATCTGAAACAGCAATGAGAACACAGGCTTTCTTTTCCCTGCCACGTTTTCGCTTTTACTGCATCTGTAGTAAAAATGCTATTTTAGTAAGGAAGGGATGGTTCATGTCACTGCAGGTATCTTTTCCTTGTGATCTTCCCAGTAGCACCCGGAACTGAAACATAAATTTTAGTTACACACTGTGTCCCAACTTCATGTCAGAATCTGGAAACCATAAGCAAAATTTATCTAAAACAGTGATCTTTTTTTCCCTCTATCTGCTTTAGGAGGTACCAGGAATTGAACTCAGGACCGCATGCTTTCTAGGCAGGTGCTTGTGCCACTAAGCTATGTCCCCAGCCCTCTGTCTGCTGTAAACAGGACGAATACAAAACTAGTAGCTTCGTGTATGCATATCTGCTATTTTACATTGAAATTTTTAATTTAATTTTTTTTCTCTCATATCCAGCATTACAAAAATGTGATAGAAAAAATGCATCTGCAAAACAGATTTGACTGCATTTCAGAAGAATAGCATGCTTCACCTTATTAAGCATTCAAATAGGGCATCCAGTAGTAAAGTGGTAAATGCACATTTTTAGCCTCTAATAGGAAAAAATATTGCTCCCATGTCCTGGACAATTTCTTTGTAGAACTGAAAGACTGTGCACATTTGACTCTTAAAAGAAAGGTGTTAAAGTGTTTCTTATTGTATGATTAATGAGTAAAGTAACAGTTCTTTGCATAAACTACATTCCTGAAACTCACATCCCACTTACGTAAGATTGAATATTCAATAAGCATAGCCAGTGGTATACTTCCAAATGAGTATTTGGTTCCTGGAAGATAGACACTTAGGAAATTTCAGTTGTTTCAGTGATGGGATTGTTGCCAGAGATGGTTTGTGGTTCCTTCTTGAAGCTGCCTCCGAGTCACCATACCAAACTGGTGAAATTCGTGGTGGTTTTGGCTGATGCATTTGTTCATCTGACAGATACTTATTAAACACGTACTGCACTGTCCACCAGTTTTGCTAATTTCCAAATTGATGAAAATGGAAAAAAAAAAAGAAAGAAAAGAAAATGAAAAACAAACAAAAAAACGGCTCCTGCCTTCATTGTGTTCATAATCTAGTGGGTTTTAATTTTTTGGAAAATGAGCTGGATGTGGTGGCGCACACTTGTAATCCCAGCACTGGGGAGGCTGAGGCAGGAGGATCATTGCGAGTTTGACACCAGCCTGGGCTACAAAGTGAGCTCAAGGCCAGCCTGAACTGTGTAGTGAGACCCTGTCTTAAAAAAGACAAAAAAAATTTTTTTTGGAAAATGCCAAAAATAATTTAAAGCTTAATTAGGTAAAGATGGAGGCTGTTAATGAACACCACTTTAATGAAAAATAAGTTGTGATATAAAGGGATTGGGATTTCTTTTTTACTTCTTAAAGTGGTTTTCAAAGTATTATCAAAGAGAATTTTCAACAAGAAATCAAGATAGTATCTTGAGAATAGATTGGTTTCTTGTCTTAGTACCTAATTTGCAGCGTTGCATTCATTTAGACAAATGTTAGCATTGCTCTTTTTATTTTACAAGTCCTTAGGTGTATTTTGAGCCTCATATCCACCAGCTTTTGTTTGGTTAACGTGAACATTTTAAGATAGGACCCTAATTTACGTTTGAAAAAAGAAGCACACAGGACGTGACAAATATGACTGTCATGTTAATCTTCATAGTTTTGTGTATGTACAACTTTCCATAAAATGCAGAGTCTTAAACCAGGCCCAGGACTAGTTTCCTTTAGTTTTTTTTCATTATGTGACTGACTCTATTCACTTGGGAATAAAAGGAAGTATCTAGTTATACTTCATCTGGAGGTCTGATTATATCATTATTAAAAATGAATAAAATCCACTTTTGCCTGACATCCATGTTATGAGAAAAAAGGTACAGACAATAAATGCACAGACAAATGCCCTAGTCTGCTTTTTTTTGTAGTAACAAGCATGTTTGTCTCTACAGGGGGATCTTTGGATGTATATAGGAAAATTCCAGAGCATGTTCTCGGAAGAATTGCAGTAGCAGTAAGTATATGATTTCACTGTTAGGAAATTTGGCTGATTTAATCCTTCTAGTCAGGCCTATTCTTTTTTATTTTTTTATTTTTTAAATCTTTGAGACGGGGTCTTGCTATGCACTTCAGGCTGGCCTTGAGCTCACTTTGTAGCCCAGGTTCATCTTGAACTCGCAAAGATCCTCCTGCCTCAGCTTCCCAAGTACTGGGATTACAGACTTGTGCCTCCACAACCGACAAAGTCATTCCTATTCTTATATCCTCAACATGTTTCTCTCTTTTTTTAAATCCTAATTGGCTGTCAGGTCCTTCTTACCTTTCTTTTACTTTTATCATTTTATCTTTTCTTTTTTGCATAGACCAACCCCTAACATAGTCACATGACATGTGTCAGGCCTGACACTACTCTGACCTGTTATAGTATCAGGTTTGCAGGGGCCTGAGTGCTCAAGTTGACCAGTAGAATATCCAACTTCTTCAAAAATAAAACTGATCTTTGGGACACTTTATAGATATTATAAATGTATGACTAGAAAATACTTGAAAAACCTAAATTATTAAACATAGTTTATGAAAACTACTATTTTGCTCTTAGAGATTTCTGTAGTCTTCTTATGTTCTATAACTTACTTAATCAACTACCTCTAGGAAGTTTTCCCTTTGTGATTACAAGCAGTTTTCCTATTTTTTACATTCATTAATAAACCAGTGGAATATATCAGCTAAACTGACATTACTGTGTAAGTTCCAGATTTCAAATGTGGAGTAATGTGGCTAAACAGCATCTAAGAGAAATCAAGGGTGGTATAATAGTAAACAATTGCTAAACTAAAGGCGCTCTGATAGCATAAGTGGTTTAATACAGAACAAAGTGGTTCTATCATGTACCATTTAATTAAATGGCTTATTTTCACATTCATTATACATCAAACTGACAACTCAGATTCTTTAATCCAGCATGGACACTTATTTAGTCTTAGTTCACTGTAATTCACAGCTTTCCTTTTTTCTTTCTAATTATTAGTGTGAACTGCCCAGGGTGATGAGAACTTCCTTTTCTGATGCTGTTCCTGCTAAGTAGCTTCTAATCTACACGTGTAGGTGGATTAATCTGAAATTTGAGCACTTAGATCAGTATTTTAGATGAAAATAAAAATGTTTCATTTCCTCTTCTAATCTCAGGGGGGAATGAGTGCTTGGTGGCTTTTGGCAGTTCTAGGCTGTAGAGTTTAATAACACGTAGGATAAAGGGCAAAAGAAGACAAGGATACCAGTTGAAAAAGAAAAAAGTATACAAGTTCTGTATACTCAATTATCTATTGAGCAGGGCCAAAAAACAGAAATCTGTCTTCTTCAACAGAGAAACGTGTTCTCCCCGGACTTCATAAATCTTGCCTCCCTCCTGATAGGACTTCCAGACAAGGCCACTGGTCTTTTCAATTCCACCAGAGCGGGAAGACTGCGAAGTCAGTGCAGTCAGCAGAAAAAGCAGTCCCGCTTTCAGTAGGCCTTGCCTGGTGGGTAATTCAGAAGATGACAAAAATTATTTCAGGGAAGAGCATTAAAATACTAGCCCAAGTCATTGTTCACAGTTGCCCTTTTTCTTTAAATTAGAGGTTGGTCTTTGTTGTTTTTCTGAGCTGTATCCGGTTTCTCTAGTTTAAATGGCTCATCCCATCGTAATAATGAAAGCTCCTTATGACTGGAGTAGAAGACATGCTTTGAATAATTTTGCTCTTTGGCCACGGTTTGTAAACTCTGCTGGGGCCAAAGCATGTGTAATACCTCCAGAGCATGTTTTTGTTTGTGGGTAATCTGAGTAGGCTGCAAACCGGAATAATTCCTTGTTACAGCTGACACACGTCAGATTGGCACAAGGCTAATTATTCCCTGACACGGAGAGGATTATACCCATCAAAGTGTGACTGGCAAATTGATGGGCTGAAGGTCATGGTTTATATAGTGTGTGTTCTCACAGCCTGACTGGGTTCCCAGTATCCTACTGTGACCCAGAGACTTCCCTGTGAGTTCCCTCGGTGAGGCCAGAAAACGCATGAGTATAGTTTTAGCTATTGCCAAGTTTAAAGCAAAAGAATCCGATGGTGGGAAATAAATGGTGGGTCTTCCTGTGCCAATCACTGTGGCATACCTATGTATGCATATTATGTCATCTGGTCTTTACAGCGACCCTGCAAACTGTGGATTACTGAACATGTGCTATTCTATGCAAAATGAGGTTTAGAAAAGTTAAGTAACCTGCCCAGAGATGTTGTCTAATTAGTACATCCTAATCTGAACACAGGGTTGTCAGACTCCAGACACATTGTTCTTTTACTCTGCTTCCCCAAAAGTGTTGAGAAATAAAAATAAAATGGAGGGAGAGATGAAAGGGAGAACTGGTTAAAAAAGAAAAAAGAAAAAGAGGCTGGGCATGGTGGCACACGTTTGTAATCCCAGCACTCTAAGAGGCTGAGGCAGGAGAATCACAAACTGAAGCCTAGCCTGGGCAGTGTAGCAAGTTAGCAAAACTCCATCTCAAAAAATAAAAGTAAAACAAGGGCTGGGGACATATAGCTCAGAGTGAAGGCCCTGTGTTCAATCCCTAGTAACCACCAAAAAAATTGAAAAATAGATTTTAAAAATAAATATGAATGAAAGATAATAAACTATCATGATTGCTTATTTATTTATGTCTAAATTTTTGTTGTTTTAATTTGGGGGGTGCTAGGAATCAAAGCCAGGGCCTCGCACACGCTAGGCAAGCGCTGTACTGAGTTCCAATCCCAGCCTACTTCAGAGTCAGGTTTGAGAGAGGGTCTCACTATTCCCAGGCTGGTCCTGTACTCCTGGACTCCAGTGATCCTCCTGCCTCAGCCCCCTGAGTAGCTGAGACTGCAGGCATGCAGCCTTCACGAGCTAGCCTTCACTTCCTTTTTATGTCTTACAACCACATTTAGATATCTCTTCCCTTCCAGATGAACTTTATTTTCCAGCTTCTAATAATCTGGCATGCAGAGCAGGTCCATTCCAAGATGGACCTGCAACCTCTAAGACATGTGCTTTGGCTTTTCTCATGGAGAAGGTATGGGAAGGGAACAGTTTTTCTTCTGTGAAATCCATATAAACTCTCTGACTTCAGCCTTTCAACTTGCTCCGTGATTTCTATCTACTGTCCACTGAAATCCCTAGGAAAAGGAACACCTCTCTGCCCCTCCTGCCACTGAACACATTGTATTTTTCCTCTCATTTCTGAAGCAGTGACACTGCATACTGTATTTTGAGAGCTAATGTTGATTGAAGCTGTCCCTGAAAGGACGGTGCGCTTGACGCGTCAAGGAGCGAGTGATTGACAGCAGATCGAGGACTTTGGTGTCAAGGCTTTGTCAAGGCATTATTGTGAAGCCTGGCCCGCTGAATACCGATAATACTGCTCTAGATTTCCACGCACAGATTTCTGGCCCTCTTGTGCCCTGATACATCTATGCTGTAAGGGAAATCTAGTCTGTGTTGTCAGTTGGAAGAATACTTTTTGAATCTCGCAAAATTTATAATTTTAGAAAATATAAAATCAGTACAATGTTTTACTTTTTTGCTTAACCTGACAACCTGAAGATGTTGGATTTGCCTCCTTTTTGTGTGCTTTGTGGTTATTCATTGTTTGTGAATTTCAGTAGTATGCTGTCTGTAACAGGCAGGTTTTATAATATGCAATTAAGCTTCTGAGTTGAAAAATATAACCCAACTTCCTTAGTATTGAAAAGATTATTATTTCCATGCTAAAGAAAATGACCTCTTCCTATTACTCAGAGATGAAATTGTTTTCATTATGGATGTAATTTTTTCTTAAACATTTTTAGAAATATTTTTGTTTCCTTCCATATTAAAATTGCCATTCATATTTTTTACTTTTAAAATAAATTTTAATTTCTATTTACACATGGTAATTATATGTATTTATGGGGTATAATGTGACACTTCAACGCATGTATTCAATGTGTACTATTGTATTATACATTTATTAATATTTTGGTTTTTTATGTTTTACTGTTTGGAGAATGTACTTTATTGTAATGTCAGTTATTCCAAACTCTGGAAGAAATAATTTGCTATAAAAATTTATTCTCTTCTCTTAGAATAGATAAACATGCAATAAAATTGCTTGTACCATGTTGGCAAATCTTTCAGGACCACATTCTCTCCATGAGAACTATTAAAATATGTTAACCTCTGCTCAACCTTGGAGGATATAGATTTTTGTCTTCCGGATCTTTAGTGTTTGTAAATTTCTCTTTGCAGTTCTGGTTTTTTTACTATTGTTCATAGTCTTTTTTGATCAACTAAAACCTTTGTATGTTTAGTCACCCTCTTTTCATCATTTTAAGATGCATAAACCACTCACTTCTCATTATGATTACTTTTCTCATTCATATGATTCGCAACCTGAAATTTTTGTGCTGGTGAGAACTTTTAAATTCTTGGAGTAAATTGTAAGTCATAAAGGTTCAGTCACTGTTTTTTGGTGTCTAATCATCAACCAGTCTTGAAATTACAAGATCATAGTCAAATGTGTATACACAGGATCAACGGTTGGAAATAAAATGTGTGCATCTCCTTCCATAATAATTTTTATATAAAGATTTTGAAATTTTTTATTTTTGCAGTGCTGGGGGCAAACCCAGAGCCCCATGGATGCTAGGCAAGTGCCCTACCACGAAGCTATGCTCCTGAGCTTGAGATTTTGAAAGTTTTAATGGCATCCCCTGATTAAGTTTTCTATATACTTGTAAACTGTGTATTAGGGTCATTAAAACATCTTGTTTTTGTTTTTGTTTTTTCAGTTTCTAGTTGGATTAATTATTCGTCAGATCCTTAAAGAGAAAAGTCCAAATGTAATTTGCGTTGGTCTTTTCTTGACTTTCACTTGTGATATTACTTATATAACTTCCACAATGTAGTTTGCACCAGCTGGATCAGCTTGTGAGGATCATCTTGGTGTATTTCATTCTTTCCAGCCCCAGTAAATTTTAAAAATTGGGGGAGGGGCTCCTTATTTTCAAATTATTTTGAACTTAGAGAAAAGTTGTGAGAATAATACAAAAACTTGCACCAAAGGCTTCACTAAGCACATATGCCTACAATGTAATGCTTTCTTTTCCCCACAGAGAATGAATGTGTTACTCAGGGCCATCACCTTAGTGAACCCTTTTGACTGCTAGTGAGAAGAAAGGTTTCTATTCTACCCACTGCTTTATTCATGAGTTAAATCAAAACTTCCTTGGGCTGAGGCTGTAGCTCAGTGGGAAAGTGTATGCTTAGTGTGTTCAAGATCTGGGTGTGTAAACCCCAGAACTACAAAAAGGAAAAAAGCTTCTCCCTGGCCATAAATGTCAAGACTTCAAGAAGAGTCACACAGAAGTATAAAACAATAAGATAGTCTTTGTAGTTTTTTTCTGCCCCCTCTCCTGCCCATAATGCCGTAAGAGTATAGTGTATACACAACGACTTCCCAGTACACATACACTTACTTCTTCTGCACTTATTTCTTCTATTTGGCGTGCATTATCTTTGGGATGTTGTAAGCTCCTGAGCAAGGAACATGTAGCTTTTACATTCACTGTCACCCTAAAAAAGCACAAAAGTGGAAAATGTTCAGTGAATGCTTCTTAGTTGAGAATTTTAAAGGAAAATTTATGGTTGATATGTCTAACTGCAGAATGTCCTCTATAAAAACCATAACTGTACTTTTTTTCTTTTATACATTTAGGTTGTTAAAGGCCTTACCTATTTGTGGAGTTTAAAGATTTTACACAGAGGTATGTGCTGGGGCATAGGCGCTGACCTAGTCTGGGGTTGGGCTGAGGCTCTCCAGATGCATTGAATTTTCAAGTAAACAAATGATAGGACATTTAAGCCAGCGGACATATTTGATAGTCAAAATGATGGTTTCTTATATAAATGGGAATTTGCTTGTTTTCTTCCTTCATGTTTCCAGCTCTCTTGTAGATTATAAGCTTGATAATTGTATTTTTGTGAATTTCATTTACCAAACATGTAAAAAGATATTTCATAATATTTAAAATGATAGGATCAATTTGTAAGTTGTGGTACACAGCCTTCACTTTCTATACAGTTGCATCCTTCCCTTTCTTTTTTCTTTTTCTTTTTTTTTTTTTTTTTTTTTTTGGTCTTTTTGAGACAGGGTCTCACTATGCAGGTCAGGCTGGCCTTGAGCTCACTTTGTAGCCCAGGCTAGTCTCACACTTCCAACAATCCTCCTGCCTCAGCTTCCTGAGTGCTGGGGTTACAGGTGTGTGCCACCATGCCCAGCTTGCATCCTTCCTTTCATTAATGGGACAGACATCATCACATTGTTTCTTAAGAGATTAGTTCTCAGACCTGGAAAGTGCAAATTTCAATAAGGAATTGGTGAAAGCCTGAGAAACAGTTCCCCAAAACATGTGAGAGAATAATCAGGTAACTGTGGAATGCTACAAAAGTAGCCTACTTTTGTGTTTTTTAATGTTCTCAGGATGTCTGTGTTCACTTAGAAGCAAATTACTAAGCGAGGAAGAGACTATTACAAAGCAACGTCAGGGCCTGGTGCTACCACAGTACGGTTTAATTTTACACATCTGCTCACCCTGGCCTTATGTACATTTGGGAGATGCAGCAGCATACAGTTAAATATGATTAAAGAAAGTTTTGTTGGTTTTTTAAAAAAAGATATAAACTCTAAGGGAGGAAATCTGCAATTATAGTAGTACATCTGTCACTACGTATTGTTGTTTGTTTTTTTTTAATGGGTGGTTTTAATATCCCAGTGATTTCAGTTTTCTTGTGAAATCCTACGATACTTTTCCTGGGTATAAATAAGCATGTAAACACATCTGGCACATCTGGTGGGTCAGAGATTTTAAAAGGCTGCTATGTAACGTGATGTCACTTACATCGCTGCTGTTTATTCCCTGTGCTTCTGTTCTCTATACCCACCGACCCCTAAAGTGGTCATAGCCATTGTATTATGAAGCCAGTGGCCAGTTCTTGTCATCTCGCTGATTGTTACGGGCGTCTGCCACCCAGTCCCTTTGACTGAAGAACTAAAGGAAGGTATTAGTGCCCGGGAGAGAAGCCTTCATTCACGGGGCCGTGCCCTGGGGGTGGGAGCGACGTTACGAGAGTGAGTCCTAGGATGGTTCTGTGTTCTAGGCGTACGGGCTAGTTCTGGTTCTGAATGAATTGGCTCTATCCCTAACTGGCTATGAGGAAGCTTTGGAGCCCTGAGAACTCTAGTGGAATGGGAAATATGTTGTCGTTATTCCGAAGTCATCTTGGCTTTTTCTCTTTAAAGTTAGAAAGCATGCGGACAAGTTGGTATCCCTCTAGTAGCCCTGTGTCTGTATTACATGCTTTTATTTTTACTGAATTTTTCATTTGAAATGGGATCTTGATACACATTTCAAATAGATTGATGTGGATCTGAAAATAAAGTCTAGGGTTGGAGTCCCAGGACCACCACTCCCCGCTGTCTGGGGGCAAATGTGGTTGACCAGAACCTCCCAGAGGCCAGCAGGTCCTTCTTCCCGGTGCTGGCTGCAGCTGGACTAGGAAAGGCCTCTCTGATCTGTGACACTTGAGGGCTGCAGCAACTTGACTGAGGGCCGATGGAAGCCGTGGAGGATTCAAAAGAGAGCCCTGGGTCTCTCCTTCTGTTTCGGTCTTTGCTGGCCCACCCAGGTCCCCATGTGCCCCCCACATAAGGCACCCCCAGGTGCGGGAAGGGGCTGCGAGGGGCTGGGAGAGGCAGGTGTGGAGGTTTCAGTCTCAAGTGAGCACCAGGGAGTGAGCGTGTGTCTGCACCTGTCTGGGTCAGAGACGAATGAATGTGAGAGCAGACAGAGTCGTTCCCAGTATCACGGGTCCTGCGCCGTAGGAATAGGAATCATTAAATATGCGAGGACACTGAGGAGCTCTGAGAACTCCAGTGGACAGGAACATGCGTCTTAGTTACTCTGAAATGATGTTGGCTTTTCCACATTTCCATGTGGAGCTTTTGCATTTCCTAGCTATTCGTGGACACTTTTATTTTTGGATTTAAAAGCATGTTTCTATTGATGAGTAGAAGAAAACAGGTGTCCCTGAAGACTTTTGTAAAGCACTGTAATGAGAACTTTACCATAGATTGAGTAGTTGTTAACTTAATATTTTAGAGGGGCTTTTGTCCATATTTAATAACTTGGATTCCATAAAAATAAGATTAAAGATGCCTCTTTATTTACCAAAAAGCTATTTAATTTTCTCCTTGATTAAAAAAATTGTAGCTTTTTAGATGAGTTCAATCAGGCAATTAAAGATCAGAGCTTTTAAGTTCAGCTCAGGCAATTAAATAGGTAATATACTTGTTTATACACTTTTGCTGCGTGAGCTTACTGCTGTACTTGCTTAAAAGCACATGTACTCACTTTTGCTGCTTCTGATTGATGACGGGAATTCTAGCTGAATATGTGTCACGTTGTCAAATCAAAGACAGGAGTCCCTTTCTGCAGGGTGGAGAAGCCTGCACAGGCTCTGTGAGGAGACAGACAGTGACAAGAAATCGCAGTGAAAACACTGAGTGATCCAGGCTTCTTCCTCCTTTGTCTTGGGCTAAATACCTGTGTCCTCCTCTGTTCATCATTTTCTAATGCTGCCTCCCAAAAACAGGGTGGGACAGAAAAGACATAGCTTTATGCTTACCACAGATTTAAAATTTAAAAAAAAAAAAAAGAAAAAATGGACATAAACTCAGTTACCCAGTATGAAAAGAGAACAAAATATTTCTCATGTCTAAATGGCCTCTTTTTTTTTTTTTTTAAATTTTTTGTCTTTTTGAGACAAGGTCTCACTATGCAGTTAAGGCTGCCCTTGAGCTCACTTTGTAGCCCAGGCTGGTTTTGACCTCACAACGATCCTCCTGCCTCAGCCTCCCGAGTGCTGGGGTTACAGGCGTGCACCACTACATCCCTCCTAAATGACCTCTTTAGAATACAGAGGCCATGTATGTTTAACTGTAGAAAATGTATGTATATATAAATAGTATACTGTGGAATTTATAAAACATGCTAATGATGTCCAAACAGTGCGGGAATGTGAACTCTTTCCCCACCGTGTATCCACTGGAGACTGTCGCTGTGGGACAGTAAGCGGGAACAAACCACCCGTTCCTCAAGGCTTGCTGGTCTGTCATTTGGTTCCTGTGTAATGCCTTTTGCCAACTGGAAAGGGTGGGAAATTGCTGTTCATAATACAGCATCAAATATTACATTCATCAGCTATTACTATTATTTATTTTACCCTGTTCCGTATTTGGGGGAGGGGTGATACTTTTGAGAAGACAAATTCTCAAGTGCTAATAATGTAGGCATATTTTCAGGGTATGACTTAATCACTCCATCCTGTTAAAAAGAACACGCCACACCCAAATCTAGCCAGAGAGTTTATTATACTTTATATTTGTAGGTCAAAAACCCTGTAAATCTTCAAGATAAGGCAAAGATGCGATGACATCATGAACATGTAATTACTAAAAACGTTTGAAACTCCCTCCACCATGAAGCCCCGTGGCAGAGTTGTGTGTACTGGGAGTCGTGTGTGAGAGCCCTGGAAACAGAGCACGCGCTGACTGCAGGTAGAAACAAAGAAAATGAACAGTGAGAAAGTCTGTTAGGCCAGATCCGACGGCACAGCAAACGCTGCAGCCTAACTTCAAAACATACATCGCCACTAATGAGGTGAGAGCTCTGCATATTAATAAACCTGCAGCTCCAGCCGTAGCCGTCATTAGCCACATCAAACATAAATACAAGATTAACACCTATGGCACTTCTTTGGGAGATGTGAGAATGCCCTGGTGGTAACTGCTCTCTCTTTCCCTGAGGATGAAAAACAGAAATCGAAGGGTAATGAGAGTGGAACTTAGATGAAGAAAATAAAATCAGCAGTCAGGGTGGGGCCATCTTACACAGAGGCAGAAGTTTATAGAAAGAGGGGCTCCTAGGTAGTTGGTGCCCAGAACATTTTTTGTGTGTGTGTATATAAGACTGATTAGTTTCATTCACTCTCTCCATAAAAGTTTTTTTTTAGTTTTTTGTCTTTTTGAGATAGGGTCTCTCTCTGCAGTTCAGGCTAGCCTTGAGCTCACTTTGTAGCTCAGGCGGACCTCGAACTCACAATAATCTTCCTGCCTCAGCCTCCTGAGTGCTGGGATTACAGGCGCGCGCCACCACACCCAGCCATAAAACAATTTTTAAAGGTATTTTTTGCAGAAATTCTAGAGCCAAATGCTGCCCAAATCTCTGTTTGGAGAAATGAAGTCGTGTATGTTGAAAATTTTCTTTCCTACCCCTGACTTTACTCCTACCCGCCCGCACACAGAACTCCCACTCAGTACTGCCTTAAAGGCCAAAGCCAGCATTGTTAGTTTATGTGTCCCGTTGCTATTTATTTAATACCTGCCATGTTCCAGGCACTGTTCTGGGTACTTGGAAAATACCAGTATGTAGAACAAAGATTTCTGCACTTCTGGAACTTTTATCCTAGCATGGATGGGCTGAGATGGGAAACGGTAAGCACAACAAGTACATGTAGAGCATTTAGAATGCGGTTAGTTACACACAGAAGACAAATCACAGATCGGCAGAGGATAGGCTGATGCATTAATCAGGTAGACCTCACAGAAAAGATGGCTGTGGGGCGCAAGCTTGAGCGAGGAGAGGAGCTAGTCAGGCTGGTATCTATGGGAAGGCAGAGCTGACGCAGGAGGTGGGCGTGGAGTGGA